CTATACGTTATTAGAATAATCAAGTTTCAAGATTATATAACGCAAATTGACGTTAAATTTCAAGAGGCAAATTGCGACGCTTCACCGTTTTTCAGTCATCAAACATGCTAATTCTTATAGCGAGAGGCCCGACGCATCCGGGCTTGGAGCCGTTCACCTCGCCGGTGATTTAAATATGCAGACGCCCGTATTGATTGTCACCAAGAATAACGCCCTAGCTAACGTGGAAACCCTGAAAAAGGCCGACCCGCCCTCACCTGATGACGTTAATAGTATAGCTATTTCTGGGTCCTTAATAACTATCATATGAAACATCGATTTGTTAATAGAGGGTTAAATGATAAGAGTCTTAAATTAATTGAGTATTGCGAAGTGAATGTGTTTTATTTTAGTTTTTAGCCGACTTCAAAAAGGGAGGAAGTTCTCAATTCGACTGCATGTTTTTTTATGTTTGTACCTCATAACTTTTGACCGGATGAATCGATTTTGATGATTATTTTGTTATTAGAAAGCTGACGCTTCTCGTGTGGTCCCATTTAGTCTCAATTTAGTCCAGTTCCGATAATGGTATCCATGAGAAAACCATAATTATAAGTCTTAAATTTGCATTAAGTTAATTTGCATTTGCATTGAGTTAAGGCGACAATTAATTTGCATTAAGTTAAGGCGACAAATAGATGAATAACTCAATATCACGCCAACCGATTTCGATGATTGTTGTTTTTAGTGTATATTAATTTGTTTTGAAATATCTTTTTTTATTTGAAGTCGGTTTTTGTTAAAGCATGTCTATTTAAAATTATTTCTGTGTCATGTCGTCGCCATTTTATGATTATTTTTTAGTCGTTGTTAATCGGACGATCTCACGGTCCCCAGGCCCAATAGTTACATGACCAATGAAGTCAGTCTCATTTTTATTGTACAGCGGCGATCATAGGCTTCTAACCGGAAGGCATGATGGTTTCGGGTCAGAAATAGACAGGATGGTAGTACTCATTAGGGCTCACAATACACTCTACCGCTAGTTATGAAATTAATTGACAGATTCAAAACACGGTTCTACAGCACTGTACCGGCAAACGATTTACCTTTGTTCAAACTAGTGAAGCCCCGTCGAGTTCTACTATTGCTAATTGTACGGAAAAATCCCGTGAAAAAGTTTTGCTAAAAGAAAAACCCTGAACATTAACAGAACAAGGTTTGTATAAAATAATTACGGTTCATAATTATAAAAAGAAAAAAACGAAAAATAGCTCCGTCAAATTGATAGATTTTTTCTCGAGTGTTGCTACATTAAACATGTCCGAATTAAATTTGATTTAAATAGACTGTTGAACAAAGCGGCTTACATTGTAAGAATCAAATTCGAACAGACATTCGATCTAGACTGTATTGATTTGTATACATTGAAGCTACCCATCGTACATTAGGTACTAAGTAGTTCTAGTGGTCGTACTTTACTAACGAATGATAACAATACATTTAGAATTTTTAGAAAGTGTTTTCTGAAATTCTGTTTGCTAAAAAAGTAATTTGCGTTAAAAATTAATGGGCGCTTCTTAGACATATTTCATATGTGTCATCGCATTCTCACATTTTCAATTTATATTTTATTGCTACTCCGTTTTATTGCCCAGTGATGCAACTCTATATTATTATTATTGTGTGGCTTTCTTACATTAATGGTGTTTTATCTCATATTTTTTAATAATTCAATCTAGTTTAAGTTAACGACTGCTTTGGTTATACAAATTAAATTGCTCAACGTATTTGACGAGTTTTTGGATTGTTCAGACTGAGTGTTGCCTTGTTTACCGAATAAGTTCTAATGGATCGTACATTGGCTAAGTAGTTCTAGTGGTTGTACTCTGCTAACGAATGATAACAATCTATAATAGTAACGGTTTTCTAAAATTGTATTTGCTAAAAAAAATATTTGCGTTAAAAATTAATAGGCTCTTAGACATATTTCAAAAGTGTCATCGCATTCTCACATTTTCAATTTATTTTTTATTGCTACTCCGTTTTATTGCCCAGTGATGCAACTCTATATTATTGTGTGGTTTTCTTACATTAATGGTGTTTTATCTCATATTTTTTAATAATTCAATCTAGTTTAAGTTAACGACTGCTTTGGTTATACAAATTAAATTGCTCAACGTATTTGACGAGTTTTTGGATTGTTCAGACTGAGTGTTGCCTTGTTTACCGAATAAGTTCTAATGGATCGTACATTGGCTAAGTAGTTCTAGTGGTTGTACTCTGCTAACGAATGATAACAATCTATAATAGTAACGGTTTTCTAAAATTGTATTTGCTAAAAAAGTAATTTGCGTTAAAAAATAATGGTCTCTTTTTAGACATATTTCATATGTGTCATCGTTCTCACATTTTCAATTTATTTTTTATTGCCAAGAGATGCAACTCTATATTGTGTGGCTTTCTTACATTAATGGTGTTTTATTTCATATTTTCTATTAATTCAATCTACAGCATGTTAAAGACTGCTTTGGTTATACAAATTGAATTGCTCAACGTATTTAACGAGTTTTTGGACCGTTCAGACTGAGTGTTGCCTTGTTTACCGAATAACTTCTAATGGATCGTTTTAGCGTACGACCGAGTAATGCTTCAGAAAATTAATGGGTCAGCTGAAACATCCGAAATCATTAACAAGTCATTTATATTCAAGAACTTACTAAACAAGAGTAATAATAACTGGTGCCGATGGACGTGTTCTGCAGCTAAAGATAATTGTTTGGCTATTGAGTATCGAAGAATTGATTTTAATTTAAATTTTAATTGACTTCATAACCATTACCTTTCATGTTTTTCAATAAACACAAATTGTAAGACACACAACCATATTGTCTCGATCGCAATCAAAACATTTTGACAATAGCTTAAACTTTAATACTACATGAACGGGGGCACACATTTTTAATTATGTTTAATTAGAGCAGACCACTATACTTAAATGAAAAAAAGAAATGAAACTAAACATTATTTCTTTTACAACCCGTCTTAAGGCAGCGGGAAAACAAGACAATAAAAACTTCCCAACATACCTAGCCTACTTTCCCTCCACTTCTCTGGATGTACACACACATAAGCTCGTTTGCTTTACGGCTGTACGATATTTACCGGCCGTGACTGTGCTCGGACTAATCTTCCACTTGCTGGTCTGGGCACGAACTTAATTTGACATTTGACATTCTACCGGATTTGTAGTTTAACTATGCAAACTTTGTCAAGCGAACTATCAGAAGAATTTATTTCAAACAACAATAATCAGGTTTGACGAGAGAAACTTAAAAATTTGTGCACCGTAAGACGTATTGGAAGCTTCGAAATGTAATTACTGATTATTTTGGTTGTTAATTACTGGTGGTAGGACCTCATGTGAATCCGCGTGGGTAGGTACCACCACCCTGCCTATTTCTGCCGTGAAGCAGTAATGCGTTTCGGTTGGAAGGGTCGAGTAGCCGTTGTAACTATACCTGGGACCTAAGAACTTGTATTTCAAGGTGGGTGGCGCATTTACGTTGTAGATGTCTATGAGCGCCGGTAACCTCTAAACACCAGGTGGGCTGTGAGCTCGTCCACCGAACTAAGCAATAAAAAAAAATTGTACCGCCAATCTACCAACTTTTTCCGCAATCCTATCATGCATTCATGTTTGATGACTAAGACAGCGATTATTACTAGACTATATTTTATAATTGCGATTGACAGCGGCATTGACAATGTGTACTGGGATCTTCTTACGTGATATTGTGATTCCCAAAACCTTCTAGCCATTTAAAACCAGGCGCGAGCTTAGCGGCCCATTAAGCACCGTTATAAGCTACGCTATAAAAAGTCTACACTATATCAACTTTTGGCGATCATAATTAAAAAAGCAAAGCTATATTTCAACCACAGTTCCATACGTCTCCACGATACGAGAACGGGTCATTAACTTTTCAACTAATAAATAGATTGGAAAATATGAGAACTTTTTTTTGCTTCCTTATTAAGAGAAACCGTAAGTATAATACATTATGTCGATGTCTTGTTAAATGTCTTATGCAAATAGCGGTAGAATAGCTCATTCCAATTTCAAGCCATGACCAACCATGGTCGACATTCATGATAAGAGTCACGTCTGCACGTCACTTGCCTACGTATGGCTTTCAGGAAAAGTAAAATTTCAGTTCATCCCGAGATCATAACGCAACAGCGCAGGAATATTGGGAACTGATTAACTCTGAAAAATTTGGTAAGAATCCGTTAAATAATAGCATAGGTAATACAGTAGCCGCTAATGTTTCAAGCGATTGATAAATTCAACTCGTTGATGCATCATGAATAACCATTTTGGATAAAAGTAAAATTTCACCGTATTTTTCTAAAAAGTCAATTTTAGAAGATAGATGAACTGTCACATTAATCGATTAGTATCACCATTAAATCGCCTTTTATTGCACGCGAGTAAAAAAAAGGTCATACACGTCATCATGAGATGGTGACTGGGTCACTGAAGTCCGTAGGCTACGATTAAAATCGACAATAATACTTCAACATCTACAGCCTTGTTTAGTACAGTAAAGTAGATACTCCCTTCAATTTCATTTAGCACGCTTATACATATTGTTACCATGCAGCTACATTTGTGGAACAAAAAATGTTGGAAATAAAAGCGATTAATTATCCTTTGAAAAAAAATACATATAATAATATGACAATAAAAAATATTAATACTCTTAAAATAATGTTCAATTTATGGAAACTATAATTTTAATCTAACTGAAAGTTTACACTAAAATAATGAATATTCTGAGTGGGCAATAATAATAGTAGTTGACAAAACTTTTTTAATTTCAGAACGAAAGTTGCTGACTCTGGATGATGGGCTAATGGTGCCCATAGCGGTGCTCGAGCAACTTTCACAATAACCGCCGGGCTGCAGTACGAGGCGCCTTCAGAACAATCTATATTAATAACATCACCTGTCCTACCTTTATTGAGCCTCGGACCTCATGGTTTCTGCTCTACAACGTTCCAAAAATATCGATTCACGACGAAACCAGCATGTCGGCCGCCCTCTAGGGCAGACGGGTCCTCTCGCTCTACATACACATAGACACAACACGTCAAGCGAGATATCAAAACGGTTTCCCGCCACTAGTATTTTAACACATGTAGCCTCATCTTGACAGTTTATGCACAGTACTTGAATTTAAATGGGATTCACTGATTGTTTTAAGTCCTTAGAAAAATGTTATTAGTATAAGAATTGGAAATGCTCTAAGTTTCATTATGGGGCTTAGAGGGAGTCAGACGGTACACCGCCCTCACGCGCTCGCTCGGCCCGACTGACTGAATTTCCTATATTTTCCCGGCGCAAGCCTTCACCCCTTGTAATCGAGCACATCGAGGTGCTTGAAATCTGGATGTTCCGTCAGTTAAATTTATAAAATTCGAAAACTTTACACTGAATATAATTCCAGGTAAATGTTATTGTGCTAAATTTAAAGAAGGAGTTTCTATAAAGGTTCTAATAGATATAAGTAGTTGTGTGTTTTATTGCTGTTAGTAATAATTTTTCAGTTAATCTAACTATGAATTCCAAAGAATGTATTTTAAAAAATCCTATTTTTTCCATAGAAACTAAAATTAAATTAATATATTCATGGACACACGCAAATAATCACGAAGAAAAAATATTTTTAAACCCTCAACAATCACCTCTTTTTAATTAACATCACAAAACATGCACCGAAAACACGTGAGATTGGGGGAGAACATGGTACCGTAAGCCACATTGCTTTGATTCTGCTATTACCATCGGCTTATGAATCTACCATTTGTTGTCGAGGAAAAGGTTTTGAGTTGACATTTAAGATACAAAGCAAAAATCAAGAGATATAGAACCGAGATGTTGCAGTTGGAGCTGGTATTGTCCACTAGATTAATATAGTTCAGCAAGTAATAAAATGAGTAATAGGTATCTGAACGATTAAATCCATAAATTCATAGTTTTACCCTGACAGGGAAGCATAGTCATAACGACCAACACTAATTTACTAGCAAACTTCAGCTTCACGCTTCAATAGAAAGATATTCAAGAGCAAACCATCTTTAAATAAAATGCATTCTTGGGTACTGAAGACCGTAACATGAAGTAATGTAAAACGGAGGCCGCACATGTGATTACTGGCCTTTGTACGAATCTGGTTACTGCTGCGATATTTTAGAATAAGTTCATTTACATAAATATAATAATAAATATACAATTGTTTTTTGAAATAAAATTAAAATACATATCTGGGGTAATTTCATGGGTAAGGTAAATAATTAACTTTGCCGAGAGCTATTGGGTTTAATCACACTATTGAATTTTGTATAGCACTTTATTACCACTCGCTATAATATAAAACATAATTATTTCTGAATATTGAACAAGATTTTAACAAATAATATAATCGATTATGCAAATACTCTCTATACAAATTTCAAACGCGATCCAATTGTCATTTTGACATTCCATATTTGTCAAAACAACGTGTTGTTATTGTCAGTATTGTCACGAAACGAACAAACACCTAAAACAAATCTAGGAGTAAGGATTAAAATTCCTTCAATTCCATTATAACGTGGATATTGGTGTTTGTTTTTTATTATGGCGCAATCCGAAGACACCGAACTCAGGGACTTGGTGATCGAAGCTTTAGAAAAGAACGGATCATTAGCGAAAATACGCGCTTTGCTCCGGGCAAATGTTTTTTTGGCTTTCGAGGAAGATTGTGACATTAAACAAAATCCGAGCTTAGACAACATCTTTAACTTACCCGAAGGTAAGTTAGCTTTGTCAATTGTGCACGAGTTTTTGGAATATTGCAACCTCAAAAATACATTGTTTGTGTACATGTCAGAGTCGCGTCAAGAAAGAGAATACAAATACGAAGGGAAGAAATCGCTTAACGGTAAACTTTACCTCGACAAACAAGGCCTTAAGGAACCGATTCTAGTATCACTGATTAAATCTTACCACCAAAATAAATACTTTGAAAAGAAGAGACACACTAAAGAAGATAAAATGAACCGGAGCAAGTTAAAGGAAAATCATACTTATCTAGTACATGACGACTCTCAGACGAGTACTACCAGCAATTCTCTTTCAGATATATCCTCTGATGACAGAAATAAATTACGCTTAAGACTCAATTTAGATAATTCCGATACTGACACTTCTAGTGAATCTGCTAAAGAAAAGTCGAGTTCAGAATATATTCCCGGGGACCACATTATAGAGATGAAAAAAGGAACCAATACTCAAAGTGTTATACAACACACCAATGGCTCATTACATAATAATCAAAATCACAGCATACCAAATGCCCCAGAACTGAAATCATCATTGTATGACACTTTGAAAGAATTCCGTGCATTACCTAGTAGTAGTGATTCTACCTCATATGCAGAATTAAAACCATTCCAAACTATAGATGATCTTAATAAAGTTGCATTACAAGGAACACAACAGAAATATAATGCTGATATTGTACAGCCTGCTCCTTCTTATTCTATAGGAAATTTGAAGAGTGAATCACAGCACACTGTTGATTCATCCAAATCTGGAACAATAAGTAGTGCTTCATCCTTATCATCAAGAGAGCGACATATAAGCGCTAGTAAATCTAAAGATGGAAAACCTTCAATTGATTCTCGTATATCTGAAGCTGATACAGTGGAGTATAGTAATGACTTTTCAACATCATCACCTAAATTTAACAAAAGTCCTCACAAAGAATCTAAACGATCAAATGATAATAGTCACAAAAATATTTCAATAGAAAGTCAAAATCAAGGGTCACAGAGCTCGCGCAGTTCGATTTCGATTTCTGATATTGCTGATTTGATGAGTGAAAAAAGTTCCTCTAACGAGAATAATTCTAAAATTGATCATTCAACAAATAAATCAAAGTTATTATCACAAAGTGTTCTACATAGTAAATCTAATATAAGACAGAATAAGAGTTTAAGTGATGATTCTGGGGATTTCACAGAATCACCAATACATTCATTGTCTAATCTTAGTTTAGACATTCACAGTGACTAATATTAAATAAAAGATTTACTCAATACATTCTGAAGATTATTTACGCATTTAATATGAGCAATTTATTTCAAACATAATATCTTATGCAGGATGAAAGTGACTAATTTTTAAATGATACTACCTATGTTAGTATTTACAAAAGTATCCTATTTATTATTTTATATAAAAGTATAAAATTTGTCCCAAGCATGGGTCTAATAATTTTAATGGTTTTTTTTTTATAATTTAATTTGCCCTTAAGTCATAGACAGTTAATAAAAATGCTCAGTAAATATAAAATAAATAAAAACACTGTTTTATTACTGATAAAATTTGACTAATCATTGCATAATAAAATTATATAAGAGAAAATTTTAGTAATGTCAAATAATGTTATTGATGAATGATAGATACAGTTCATGTCAAAAATGATGCAAAATGTAAAAAAAGTTATATCAATTCATATGCCTTCTTTACATGATAGTTGATGACCTTACCAACTCGTAATCTTCATATTAAGATTTGAAGGAGTGAGTGATTGGATGGATTATAATTTTTTTTAACACAAAACTGTATTGCATTGATTGTAATTAATGATTTATTCATTCAGTATTAATTTATTTCATATTATTCAATCAGAATCTTTTTTGAATTGACAAACATTCAAATTGGTATATTGAACTATATAGTTCTTAAATTTGTTAATCTGAATTAGTCTCTCACTGACTTGTAGATTATATGTAATGGCGACAATTCGTCTGCAGTGCAATGTGACTGTAATTTTATGTACTTAAAACAAAACAAAAAGTATTTTTATATTATTGTAGTTTAATTATAATTAAGAAAATTTCAAGGAATTAAAGTATTGCTAATGTTTTGGATAGGAAAAATAAGTAAGTAAAATGTTCAATGTACAAATACCTTAAACACTGCTGAAACTGTAATTGTGTTTCCAATTATTTTTGGATATTGCTGTTCACGAGCGTTCATTGTCAACTACAAAATGAACTTTCTTTCGTAATCCAAGTTTCGAATGAATGATTTAAAATTATTTATTTTCAGAGAAGAATGGTTGTGCCTTATTTAATTGAATTGCAACAAGTTCCTTTAAAAAGTCATAATTCTAGTCCTAAATACAACTGGTTCCGTCCAAATTGCCGCATTTACGAACTCAGTTTCTGTATCAAAAGATAGTTGTGCTGAAACATACCTACTTATGATGTCAATAAATGAGATAATGTAATGTAAATTTTGTTTTATTTGGTGCATAATTGTTGTGGGACAACAGTCCCTTTCCATAACAAGACTTCCTTCTAGCGAAAACCTAGGCCTATCGTTCCGGTACACGAGAATAGGTTACCTATCTTGAAGAAAACCATAATGCCGGTCACCGATTAGCAGGCCTATACCACAATATTACATGGACATCCGGATTGAGGTTGACCCGAAGGTGCAAGTGGAGCATCGAACACTGCTAGCTTGGATGTGCTGGTGAGAAGCAAAGCCCACTGAGTTTCTCGCCGGATCTTCTCAGCGGGTCACGTTTCCGATTCGGCGGTAGATTCTGCGAAGCACGGCTCCTGCTAGCGTTCGTGTTAGGAATATCGTCAGGTTTGAGCCCCGTTAGCTCACGCCGATATGGTCGCTAAACCGTCAGCTTAGGTAGGAAAAAAAAGAGAAGCGAAACTGGGTATGTGCTTCTCACTGTCTGGGAAGTCATCATGGTCTAACGCAGAGTTCCCCAAACTTTGTATCGTAGACCCCTTGCCATGTTTTTCCGTGTTGGGTAGACCCCCTACTTACCTGATATTGATTTCCTGTAAATTTCTAACTGTAGTAAAGTTTAGTGTTAAAAACACATGTTAATTTATACATTATTAATTGAATTTAAATTAAAACTACTCAAAATAAAATTTTGTATCTGTTATGTAAAGTATACGTAACATAAAATAAACTATAAATGAAATAACATAAGCAATAAGTCAATATTTTTAGTGAGAAGGATGAACCTGATGCTTTAATAATAAATTATCAACATTTGGCGTCAATTTTGTAAGGGTTAATCTTAAATCTCCCCGGCTAATGATGTCTTGATATTATAAGATAGTATGATGTAAGTAAATAGGTACTATCAGTGTATGTGTTGAGATCCACTATCGTGGACCCCCAAATGTTTTTCGCTGACGTAGACCCCTTGCAGGTTGTCAGACCCCTAGGGGTCGATATAGACCACTTTGGGAATCACTGGTCTAACGGATAAGACGTCTGGTGCAATCGTGTTGAGCGATGCACCGGTGTTCGAATCTCAGGCGGGTACCAATTTTTCTAATGAAATATGTACTCAACAAATGTTCACGATTGATTTCCACGGTGAAGGAATAACATCGTGTAATAAAAATGAAACCCGCAAAATTATAATTTGCGTAGGTAATTACTGGCAGTAGGACCTCTTGTGAGTCCACGCGGGTGGGTACCACCACCCTGCCTATTTCTGCCGTGAAGTAGTAATGCGTTTCGGTTTGAAGGGTGGGGCAGCCGTTGTAACTATACTGAGACCTTAGAACTTATATCTCAAGGTGGGTGGCGCATTTACGTTGTGGATGTCTATGGGCTCCAGTAACCACTTAACATAAGGTGAGCTGTGAGCTCGTCCACCAATCTAGCAATAAAAAAAAAGTCGATTGGGCGTTATCACTAGTTTAGAGTATGTATGTTCTGTATGCTAAGGCGAAAGCACACTATAACTATCTTCTGGATTCAAATACTGCATGGTAAAAATTATTATCACGTAATTAATAATTTTACGAAATTCAGTACGCATGTGAGTCCACGTCCACGCGAATAGGTACAACCGTTCCCCGTACTCTGTCACGAAGAGATTGTTATGTTTTTATTTTAAAGATGTAGATTCTTTTCAGAATATAATTGAGTCCTCGGCTTGATGCTCGCTGATGGTACTAACTTTTTAATTTACACGCGGTAATATAAAAGACCCGGTTCTCAAAAACTAATTTACACCGCGCTTTCTATGGCCCTTTAACTACAATTTTCCTCCCTTACCTTCCTTATTATGAGTGCCAAAGACACATGAGTTAGGCCTGAGAATCGAACTCAGATCCAGTCGTAGAACAGTCGACAAAGTTATTTATGAACCAAAAGCTGTCCTCGTTATGTTTATCTTAGACAAAATCAGAACTTCCATGAACCACGTGCACCGTGCAATAAATAAAAATACTTTCGTTTTTTTTTTAAATTCAGTATTCATATATAACTATACTTTCAATGAAGTGTCACTTATTAACGTGTTTATCTTGTCATTCTCAAACCTCCAAAAACAGCAGTAAATAGCGATATGTGAGTATCACGGAATAAATGTTCCAACTCTCGTTAATGGGGTTGGCAACTGTCAAAGTGGCGCTGGTGTGCATTGTTCCCATAACATTCAATATTTGTATTGGAATTTGTGATTAAAAATTATTTTAAGCACAATGACGCGTTGTTTTGTACCAATATGGTCAGAAATTGGAGTACATCAATTCCCGAAGGACAAGAAAATTGGAAGACTGTGGTTAAAGGCCATTTGACGCGAAAAAAGTACTCCCACAAAAAGTTCGAGGTTATGTCGTAAACACTTTGTGGAATCTGACTATGAAAACATTAGTAAATACACAGGTATGCTTCTTTCTGTCAAATATATATAATGCATGACTAGGTGTAGCACACATCTTTGTTCTCTTATTAAAAAAATCCAATAATAATTAGTTAGGCACACTATTAGTTGCTAACATATTTTGCAAGTAGATTTATGCTGTAAGGAACCTTTTAACAAACACAAAATCAGACTGGGGGAAACACATTCCTCATGAGCTGTTGTTCATTATCAGCTGTTACTATTGAAAGTTCTATCTAAATCGCTGCATCCATTGCAATAACAAATATTTTTAAACTGTAGGAATATACGACAAAGGGAAGATCTTCCACCGAGCGGGTGATATTGCTCGGTAGACCGACGGTCCGAATGTTGTTGTTCGGAACTTGTATATATGCGCTTTATCTTGAAAATGTCGTAAGCGAGATTCAGGCATCTGTCAATTATCTTGCGTCGTATGATGGCTACCCGCCACATCACTCCCCTCCGAGACCGGAGGTCGTGTCATTTAATTAACGTTGTCCGTGCTGAGATTAGCTTGCAAGTGCCAGTGCTGCTCGAAGTTTGCGGTGAGTCGAAACTGAGCTTGAATGCTGCGTGATTGTCGCCAGTGCTGCTTGAAGTCTGCGGTGAGTCGAGACTGAGCTTGAATGCTGCGCGATGAGGCAGTGTAGGTGCGTGCCGTAGGACCAGGAAGCGCGGTGAGTCGGCTGCGATGNCTTTAATTCTTTAACTATCCAGTTGGAATACATGTTGTAAAACTGTTTAGCACTACTTAGAAAGTAATAAGAACCGTATCAAAGTCACAAAATGCCGAAATATCACGAACGCAAAACACACAAAATGGCGGCTCTCTGTGACAAGGGAACAAGCTACGCTGGCGACATCTGAGAAAAGCTTTAACCGGCCAACCCCATTGAGAAAGTTGTTAAATCTTATAAGAATTGATTATTATTATTCTCATGCTCACGAATGACTTCGACGATAGAGGTTACTCTACTTAAAAGCTACAGTGTTACAAGATGTTATTAAATATCTTGTAACACTGTAGCTTTTACGTTAAGAAGTTTCTAATAGTAATCCAATCGTCCGGTCTATCACTCATAAACAAGGCCACATAACAAAGGCAGTTACTTGTCCATAGCCAACGGGAACCCTTGGTATTTTTGACAGACCTTCGTCATTCATAAGAAATCAAACTAGTTAAAATAATCCTTTGATCCAATAAATCTAGCGTAATGCCACGTTGGAAAAGTTGAATTTAGTATTGCCTTAATTTTTGATCAAAGGGTTGATGAGTGTTCTATTTAATATTAGATCGGCGCGCACAGAAAAAAAAAACAGTTTTATAATCAAAGTTTATTTCACAATTTCTGTAAAGCATAGATTTTAGATATCACTTTTTATTTATGCACACAAATCAATCCATACCGAAAACAGCAAATTCGCTGTTACGATTCTCTATACAAAAGTAATTATAACGTAGCGGTTAGTGTATTTGCATAGAAAAAAAAATATATTAAACATATTTACACCTAAATACTTTATTATTAGGTACATGAGTTTTAATATGAAAATGGTATAAAAATTACACTTTCATAAATTACATGTATGGTACATGTTACAGTAGTACAAATGCATTTATAATATACTAAATTTGAAAAATATAACAATAGTGTAAGCCACAATGTTTTATAAAAAACATTAACAGTATCCTAAAAGGTTTGCTATTATAAAAAATGGAAAATATATCGCTCTAGGCACTGTTCGTTATTTAAATATTGATACGAGTTATACGACTAAGTTCGGAGTGTTTGCACATTGCAAAAATATACCTATAGAAAGACATGAATACTCTTACTTAAAGCATTTGAAGGCAAACACTGCAGAGTAATATGCTTTCGGAAAGAATACATACATATAAATAGCTTCCACCAGTCAAAAATCAAGAAATAACCAACTAGTGCAGCTAAATAAATATAAAAATACAATATACACATAATTATATGGCAAATATTTGGCTTATAATTACATAACATAATATTCACGCCAATACCGGTTTTCGTTAAATATAAACATGAATACTTGTTGGTGTTTCATTAATTTTAATTCTTCATAATATGCCTTGTTACCGTTAATCTTAACTTGGTTTGTGAAACCTCGTGTCACGAAGAAAACATGATTAGTGTAGTAGATTAGTTCTCGATACGTGCATATGTTGACACTTAGGATAAAATGTATAGTTCCGATTTAGATTTTATATTTCTTTAATTGTCTATCTCGCTCTTGTACACCAAGTTGAACAGGAGTCAACGTCAAATTATACAGGGTGTATTGGAACCGTTCCCAAGAACGAAAGCTCGAAATGGCGCTTCTGATTTTTTATTAGTTGACAGTGACACATTGCCGCGAAAGATTTTTGGCGGGAACATGATGGAAAAGTGACGTTTCTTTAAAAGTAAACGTGTATTGATGTAGAAAATGGAAAACCACTTCGAAGAGTTTCTCGTTTTCCATGTAATGAGAAGAGCTTAATTATATTTTAGTTAATAGAATTTCAAATTCTGACAATAACGGTTTTACAAGAAAATTCCACACTGAAAAAAAAAAGATAAAAAATTGTGCAATATGTTCACGGATTATTAAACTGGTAAAAAAACAATTTAGGATTCGTGTAAAGTCTATTTAAAGATAAAAAAGTATATGACTGCTATATTTAGACCAATAAACATGATCGCATTCGTATCAATAAGAAATTAGAACCAAACCAACTGAAAAGTCGAAATCTTTTAATTTAGATGTACTGTCCTAAATTTATTTATTATCCAGTTTTGGGTTATAGGTGCTCTAAATGTTACAACTTTAGGAACGGTCCCGGGACATATTTGGCTTTAAACGATTACATAGTTAGCAAATGCTCATATTGTCTTGTTCGTATCATGAAATATTCTTATTTGTGAAGCATAGAATCTTATAACTCGTTTCCCATAGAGCTGTCGTGAGTGAGATTCGAGTCCATGCTGGCGTTGTCAGAGTCTTGGCTTTGGTTCCCGCTGTAGTTAGCCGCTTCTTGTAGCCGCATTAGCATGTTTAGCTGTGAGTAAATTACAATTGAAAATAGGTTTTTTATCTACAATGATAAGACAACAATTTCAATGACAATATTTACCAATGGGTCTTGATTGTTGTTAGCTGTCGCATCTTGACTAGACTCTTCGCCACCGACATCGTCTACGGTGATAGGTCGTAGTGTCTGCAATGAGTAAACGGGTTGTGTAGACAATGTATATTTTGACAAATTAAAATAGCTAGTGTTCGTCCTGTAGTCGAAATTCAACTATAGCTCTGTTGGCTCAAGATTCATTTTATATATATCATTCTTCATCGTGTGCTTTACTGAATTTTATTGAACACAAAATCCTGACTATACCCTACATATTTCGTCTTTGCGGTTCATATATAGGCTTCGTAATCTGATATAAAAAAAATTTGAATAAATTCTTCTGTACATTCTCAGTACTAGAGAGGTGTACAAAGCAGTCATATGTTTCGGTTTGAACAGTATGATATCCCTGATAGAACTACAGACCTCCGTCTTTTCTCTATGTAATGTTCGTTCCAATTAAAGCAAATGCTTACATGGGAATGGTTTGGTTCTCTCCAAGGATAAGATGCTTTTATGTGTTGCAAGGGATCGACCGCAGCGTGTCTCCTCCGACCGTACAACGCGACCCCTTCTCGGACTGCTTCCGAAGCGTACGGCACTATGCTGTAATTCCACACGTCCGCGAACCACGCCTGGAATACGATTTAAAATTATAAACAAAGATAGCGTATTAAAATATTATATTATGCCTATCATTCTTAAATAATTCAGTAAAGAAATAATTTTCGCATCACCGTATATAATTAATATGAATAAAAGGGTATTGCCCACTATGCTAAAAAAAATCATAAATTATGTTTTTTTGATTGATTTGATTAATTAATTCGTAGTGTTTGCTTAGATTTTCGCGAGTCGTATGCATGGAATTGTTGTGTTGTGGTAATTGAGCTTGCACTGTATTTTTTGTATAAAATATTTATTGAACCTTATTATATGATAAATTAACGACTTAATAAAGAAAACTATAAAATTGACGCGTTGCTCTTGACGGCTGGATTTGAAAGAGTTTTTGTGTTATGGCGGACGTCACTCCTTGACATTTTTAATTTCAGAAACTGAACAATAATATCTTGATACTTATTGTCATTAAATTACTCCCTATGTTACGAATACTTTACAATTTCATTGAGATTACTAACGACAGTCGACAGTGTGTAAATAAAACACGATATTAATCTGTAAAGATTGTTTCAAATTCAAATATGTATACATAATGTTCTTTGTTCATATTAGTACATTGAATATTGGCCATACGGACCGCCTTTTAAAGAATTGTTACTGTCGATCATGAGCATCGCCCTTGCATATGTCGCACACAACCCACTAAGATTTTCATCGGATCTTCTCAGTGGGTCGCGATTCCAATCCGGTTATAGATTCAGTGAAGCACTGCTCTTGCTAGGGCTAGTGTTAGCAAGTCTTCTCAAATTGAGCCCCGTGAGCTCACTTACCAATCCGCGTGTAGTTGAAATAGCCCCATAGGCTATCAACAATTAGTTACCGAAACAATATATATTAATTAAGATATGTAAGATAGTAGATTTTTTTCAGTATTAATATCTACCTGACTAGCTTCCAAGTCCATGGGACAGGCTAGGAACAACCTGGGTCCCACTGTGACGTCACTTGAGGAGTGTGCTTCTAGGAATGCGTTCAACGTGGACCAAACTCCTGGCAGCCATTCTAACACCGTAGCCAAAGCTGGCTCCCTTCTGCCGAGTCGCAACTCCAGCGAGAATAGTTTCCGACGCAGGTACCTGTATTATTTAATTTTTATGAAATTTTGTGTGTGCGTTGGAAACCAATTAACACGCAATTAATATGTGACAGAAACTTAAATGAGCAATAATAATCCAAAGTGTTTCAGAACACACTCTTAGAGACATGTTGCAATGGATATATGGATATATGGTTTAAGAAAACTATTAAAGAACATCTGTGCAATAAAGCTTACTATAAAGTTAATGATTATCTAGAAGATTGCACAAAGTGGGAATGAGTTACTCGCTCCGGGCATTTCAATATTGCAATAATTGTTACGTTATAATACTCTAATCTCTATTATCTAATCTCTATATAATCTAATCTAATATTAATAAGGAATCTAATATTTAAAAAAAAAAGACATGCCCGCTGAGTTTCTTGCCAGTTCTTTTCAGGACGGAAGCTAGTTTTTGTGAATTGGCATGTACTTTTATTTATGTTGAATAATTTTTTTTTTATTTGATACCACTGGAGATATAACATATAACCCAAGGATGGTTGACGTCGGCGACCGGTCGTAAAGTTCATGCCAAATCCGTATGCAACATGATAAGATTACACGCGCCGACCCTAATGTGCCTAATGTGGTATAAGACAAGAAGAAGAGTTGTTAATATCTTCCAACAATTCTTCTTCTTACCCGTATCTGACCTCAACCCGCCTTGGGTTATATCTCCAGTTAGTAAATCTAATGCAACATGCCATAGAGAGGGCATATTTCTGTTTCTTCTCTTGGTGTCTCCTTTACTTCATTCGTTTTTGATTTTTTTTTTTATTGCCCTTGTAGGCAGACGAGCATACGGCCCACCTGATGGTGAGTGGTTACCGTCGCTCATGGACTTCAGCAATGCCAGGGGAAGAGCCAAGCCGCTGCCTACCGCTGATTGCATGATTTGAAATTTACAATGAATTTTACAATATTATACTAAAATTTAGATTAAAAAACCAAACCACTACTACATTTATCTCCTTTTTTTTTGTATTTTCATATCAATGTCTAATATAACTAATAGTAAAAATAATAATAACGAAAAAGAGGATATAGACAATCATTAAAAACAAAATTAACACAATTTTTATAACCAAACAAAAACAGCAGGTAATCGTTTGTTGTACTAATTACATATACTGTTACGTGTATTACGGAAACATTCATATTTGACGTGATAACATCATATGTCCGAAAGTTATTACCTAGCCAAAAATCCTTTGACCGGTTCCATATGATTTGCAGTGAGGAGCCACCTGAAGTTGTGGTGTAGTTGGAGATTAGTTGTATTACACGTCGCTTGAGACATTGTTCCTGCGAAACGATAATAATGCAATATGTATAATGTAATGTAATAATTATAATATATAATAAATAATGTATAATGTACGAAACTAACTACAATATATAACTAATTATATAATAGGTATATGTAAATGTTCTATATGGAAGTCTTCTCCAATTTTGTAATTGTGAAAGGTTAATATTTTTAAATATAATTACATCATCGTCCAAAGAGAAAATACAGGAATTTGTTCATCTTTTCGTTAAGATAAACTAAAGGCAGCACCTTTTCAAGGTCGAACGAAATCGCGAGCTCAATTTAGTTATTTAAAAATTTAAATAAGATTAACAACTATGGATACGGCACCTGATTGATGCGGCTAACGTACCTATAATGACAGGCATGTTTCTATTGTCGGGCGGCAAAAGTCCGGCGAAAGCGTCTCCCAAAGCAGACGCATGTTGCAAGTTGTCGAGCACAACGACAGAAGGTAGCGGCGCTTCCTCGCCGGTCGCCGCTGCGGTGCACTGTTCGGCGATGTTCGCTAGATACGCACGCAGCTCGTTACACGATTTCCGATCGACACTACGAAACAATAAGTCTCATTTTAAACAAAATATCATAGTTAGACACCATAAACTGAACTTTAAAATCATGCAACTACAGAAAAACAGATATTCGTTTATTGCATTACGATTTTAAAGAAATTGTATCTGTGTGGTGTATGTACTACCGATCGAATTTACTAAATACGAACTTTTTAAAATCTTCCAGTGCCCTTAAGATTTAAACCTCATGCATCAAAGAGACAACTTCTTTTAAGTTCTGTTAACTATGAGGTAGCCCTTTGACAACAGGTGGGCAACTTGTCTAAAAGACGAGAGTGAAATTAGTAAATTTTACTAGTGGCAGGATCTCTTATGAGTCCGCACGGGTAGGTACCACCACCCTGCCTATTTCTGCTGTACAGCAGTAATGTATTTCGATTTGAAGGGTGGGGCAGCCGTTTTAACTATACTGAGATCTTAGACCTCATATCTCCTAAGGTGGGTGACGGCATTTACGTTGTATATGTCTATGGGTAAGCACTTAACATTGGTTGGATTGTGAGCTCATCCACCAATCTATGCAATAAAAAAATAACAAAATAATAATACCATCCTTAAAACGATAATGTAAAAATGCTTCGCGACAGAACCTGGCTATGTGGGCTCATTATACACTCTACCATAGCACTGAGCCGCCGAAAATTCCACTTACTTGAAAGTCGCAACAGCTTCGGCAGGATTGCCTCGTCTCTGCGTTTTCTGGACGTAGAACTCAGCAAGTTTGGCGGCTAGATACGACTTGCCAGTGCCGCTCGGTCCGCAGAGAATAACTCGTCTGTGCTCCGACAACAGTGATACATATCTGTGCAAACGACAAATAATATGAATTTCGATCACTTTGTATCATAGTTAAGTTTAGTTATGTTTAGTTCGTAGAGCAGAAATACAATTTGGACGTTTTCTATGTAAAAATATAGTAACATAATAGACGACGAAAACCAATGTGAGACGTCACTTAAATTAAAACAATCATTCAATCACTATTTTTATAAAATCTGATAATTACATTTGATATTTTTTCTTTGTTAGTTATCTTTGCGTTCCGCCATCTTTTTTTCGATAATACTGTTTTTTGTCGGCACCAGTTTTGTTAAAAGTTTAATTTTGTTTAGTTGGAAAAGAGTTGGTTGGTGCCTCAGTCACTTTGGCTTTTTAAATACGATTAAAATACGACAATAGCGCACGTGTTTCAATTGGTTTCAACAGATCATTGTTTTCAATATAATTAGAGAAAATGACATTTCATTATATAAAATTCTATCAATGATTAAAAGTTAAGATTTTACAAAGTAACTAACGAATGGATGCATATCTCATTAATACAATAGATAGGTTTCTTTTACACATGGAAAGTAGTATATATTATTATCTACATATAATATATTAGTTATGTTGTAGCATTACTCACCTATATACAATATTTTTTGGTATGAGACTGTCGAAAGCCAGACTCCCGACTCCTTGCAAGCATATATACAGCGTGTTCACAGTTCCCACTATGTATCCGCATGGCAACAACTCTGGAAATCCGATTTCAGGACCTCGAGTCGCTTCTCCCAGGTGATAAGACGTAATAGAATCCGTGTTCAAACCAAGATTCGTTCCCAAATCTATCCTAGACAAGTAATCCTTAAACGATTTCCTAACTATATAATCTAAGTTCTGCCAAGTAGTCTTGCCCGAGATGTATGTGTAGGCTATGACGTACTCATTGCAGTTTATTGTCGAGTCACTGTTGTAAACGTTTTTGTACGAACTACTGTGCGTCGATTTGTTGCTCTTAAGGCTATTCGTGTTCGATTTATTCATTTGAGGGTAGTCTTGGTTTTCGACGTCCGGACTGTGGTTTTGGGACATTCTCGGCGAGTCGAAGCTCGGTTGTTTGTCGAAGTGGTTCCCGAAGCCGCTACCCATTTGCTTCGCGTAGAACCTGCATTCGGACTCTGTGAGCGTGTCCTGCACTTCCTCGAAGTATCTTTGGAATGTTTCCGGTTGACCTAAATAAACAGCTATCGCAATCTTTTTCCCATCAGTCGTGTCACCTTGACTGTCTGCTACACCTACAATGTTACAATATTTTATTTTATAGTTAATTGTTCAAATAAAAACCCAAAAACCCAATGAACTGTAAATAAGATGGCGCCTATTAAATTTAAAAATACTATACTATTACTAATCAGGATAGATTAGATAATTCAGATATTTTATCTAGGCGCAATGCTTTTAACGTATTTACTTATCTAAAAACTAATTAATTATTTAGTGAATTACGAGCTGCCTAAATATGCTACAAATCGCTTAACAGTGATTAACAAGAATGAAAACCTAATCAATGGCCAATTTTTTTTCCATAAACACTAAGTCTTAGCTTTAAAGCAGCTATTTTGGTAGTAGGTATGTCTTATAAGCTTACCAATATCTGAGTAGCTTTCTCCGATGGCAAGTTCTCTACTCTTCGGTGGTGGTAGTACACTGTTAATATCGTAGTCCCCACTCAATCTATCAGCTGGATTGAGTCCATTAGCGAACAAGTCGCTGGATCCATTCAAAGGACCCAATAGAGTCTCGCTGTTCTCATTTAGTTCGCAGACTGCCTTATTCCCGTATATTGGTTCTATTGATGTGGGGGAGCCTTTCTTGTAGTCTAAAGCGGCTGTTGTGCTCATGAAGTCTAGATCGAGAGGCTGAGAGTGAATGTCTATCGAAGCCTGGGAACAATAATTGGTATCGTAAGATAAGTTTAGTTTGCGTTATATTAAATAGATAATGTAATGATTTATAAAATGCGTAAGGCCTGATTACCTGATGCATTGTACTTTGATCAGCCAAACTGAATCTCCTCGGATCTTCAACGGCCGAACCACCAGTACCCAGGGAACTCTGGCTTCCAGCCAAAGACCGGGATGTGACTAGTCTTTGAAGTCGCTCGTTATTTTGTTTTAGATTTAACATTTCATTCTGAAATTAATTTAAGAATGTGGTGACAGTTTTACTAAAATTGTGATTATGTAACATATGAATGATATAATTATTATTATCTGTTAGTTATTTTTGATGGTATGTCACGTAACTTACCCTCATCTTTATGACAGTGTCTTTTAGACTCTCCAACTGATGTGCAGAACTTAAAGCCTCCAATCGTATATCAGTTAGCACCAAATCTTTCTCTCGCAACTGCCGTTTCAATTCGTCCACCAAAACTGATTCGTCTTTTTCTGAAATAACGAAATTCTAGTATTCTCTATAAACTCCATAATACAAATTAGGATTGGTTTTCTATTTATCTAGAAACCAAAGTACTCCTTGTCTAAAGTAGATGCTCTTTAAGAACGGATTTTTCGTAATCCTATCGAGAATGATTTTTTCTTTTGCCTTAGCATACCTACATATATTATTATAACAAGCATAGGCACAGCAAAAGTTACCAATAAAACCTTTTTACGATTAACAAATTTAACACCGGGAAACTGCGGGGAATATCTAGTCAGTTTATAAAACTTTAAAGAACATCATTAGATCAATGCACTAAATGAGTGATGAAAATAGTGAGTGTAATTTCTCAAATAACGTCACTAATTTCATTCATAACACAAGTTATTTATTTCACTGATACTAAGTTAAGTCGTGTTGAATAAATTTGATCAATTGGCATGGCTTTCATCTTGTCTATTAAAATTTACAAGTATACGAATTGTCAGGCCTATTGTTCGAAGCGTACCTAAACTGCGATGCGGACTATGCGTATGCCGTGTCATCACGGTGATTACATGAGAATCGATGTAGACAATGAATACCAAAGTGAAATTATACAAAGAAAAATACCGTACAAGTGAAGGGCCACTTAGGCGATTAATGACCGGAAAATAGTTTGCGATTGTCTGTGGCGAATTGATACAACATAACTCCCGTTTTGTTTTGTTTTGTGTTGTTTTCTCGGACAATTAGTTCTCTATATGTGCATAATTTTAGAGTGTGATTAAAATGTGTGCGCGTTCCATAGGTAATCTTTAATGCGACAAGTTTAATATTATTTTATGAGGCCCCCAGATTTTCGTAATCGTTTCAATACAATTAAGAATAATAATTAGACACGTTTCTGCTTAGTTCTATTTAATTTTTAATTATGCAAATGTACGTAATTTTAAACTCAATATGGCTTACGGATTGTAATCTCTCATTAGCACATTAAGTGCTATTTCTGACTTGTCAGTTTGAATCGTTTATAATACGGAAAGATAAAAATATTCAGTACTTTTTAGTATTAAAGTAGGAGAATGAGACGCATATAAATTAATTCCCAATAGACTATACCAGCGGCTCTCAACCATCGTATCGCAACGTATTGGTGAGTCCTAAGTTCCCGTCAAGTGTATGGCGAGATTTATAAACGCGAAAATAGTATCTAAGGTGATCCGGAGGTAAATATACGGGGGTTTTCTAAGTTTTAATTAAACTACTTCTTGTTAATTGTGTAAGATTGTTGAGAATTTGCAAAGAATATGTAGTACGTCGCTGACTGAAACAGATTGAGAGCCGTCGTACTTGACTGTATGTTGATGTGCTCTACAATGATATAGGTACATATCGTGTCATGTGCCATAAGAGTTTATATTATAAATAAATATTTGAGAGTTCTACCTCATGTATATGTGGCGGTATTCATGTTGCGGTGTCTCTAGGTCTCGGGAACCATATAGCCAGATTTACTAAGAAATCCCCTAACCAACTAGAGCAAAAAAATCATTTTTCCATTTCATTTCATTTCCTTTAAACCCTTTTTCTTACCTTTGGTCTGTTCATCGGTTTTGGCGGGAGCAGTTTTGTCCTTCGTTTCAGGTAACGCTTCGTGCGAATGTTCTAGACTGTTCTCGTTACTACCCTCTCTGATTGTGTGAGGGTCGTCATAGTGATGCGAGCCGGACGAACTGTCTTGAGACGACAGCTGTCCGAGCGATGAATGTTTGGCCGTCTTCGATATCTTCGCGTTTCTTGAAAACGCTTTGGTGAACGATGACCGAAGCTGTATACAATATTCGACGTGTACAATCATATTGATCACTATAGATGTTGATACGAGTGAAAGTAATGTATGATTATCACTAGGAACGTATATTTACGATGCATTAGAATGGCATTTAGCTTGAGTGGTTTATTGAAGTGCTCAAAATCATACCACAGATATGAATGAAAGTAACATGATTGCAATATTTACATCGCATGATCTATACATATACATAAATAAAATTAGAGTGTCTGTTTGTAACATTGAAATAACGGCTTTTTACTACATGCATATGAATATAACATATATACGGTACATACAACAAAATAACATTTTTTACAACTTTTGTCTGTCTGTCTGTCTGTCTCTGCTAATCTCTGGAACGGCTGGACCGATTTTGATGAGACTTTCCCTAATAGGTAGCTGATGATATAAGGACTTAGGCTACTTTTTTTTAACTAGCTTCGCCCCGCGGCTTCACCCGCAGTTATTGTCGTACCGCGCGCAACATGGCGGGACTCGCCTATCAATAATAAAATTTAAAGTTTCAGAAGCGAAGCGAGGGCGGGTCGCTAGTAATCAAATAAATATAGCTTCAAATGTGACATGAATGAAAGTGTGAAATGTGTGCCGAGAAACCTTTCAGTACAATTACTTGCATGGTGAAGTTTCTAAAGGAATTTTACGTTAAAATATTATTGAATACAGATTTGATTGCGGCGCTCTGTGAAACCATTATCTATTGCCTATTAATAGAGTGGATGTTTATCTTCAATCAGTTAATGGAGAAAAATGAAATTTACATAACACATACGTGAACAAAGGCGAGAGAGAAAAGTATTCTTGTACGAACTTATGTTTGAACAAGTGTGAATAAGCATATGAATGTTGACTAAGCCTATAGAATGTTTTTGGTTATTGTAATATTTTAGTGTGCGTATTATGGACTTGTTCTTAAGGAGCGCTTAGTGTATATATCATGAATCTAATAATTTATCGGTAAAATATGGTTTAAGTTTTTTTTTTTATGTTTGAGCATTTACTGGTGGCTCGGAGACCTTTCCAGTTTTACCAGGGCAGGTGAAATGGTTTAAGTATTATTTCTGCTTTCCTTTTTTTTTCTTTACCTATATCTTTTTCTATATAACAGTACTTACCCATCCTTTCTTTTTGTGCTTCTTGTCATGTGGCGCTGAAGACCCACTGCTTAGACTGTTGATACTTGAGACACTGTCGGTTGACAGATGCCTTGTGATGGCGCCATTACCGGTTTGTGCGCTGCGTTGCGGTGACGACTGTTGCGTTTGTGTCGGAGGATCCTTGGAATTCAAGATTGAGTTTCGAAATGAAATAACCAAGATACTAAAGCTTTACTTTAAGTAGATTACTTTAGCCCCCTCCGGGTGTATCTGGAATATCCCCATAAAAAAATAATGAAATAAGTAGTAGTAGTAGTTTCATTTTTCCAAATGGAAAGGTAAAGATATCACACCATACAGCCTAAATAATGAAATAAATGAAAGAAAAACGACATACTTTTTTTACTGACAGGTAAACGAAGTCAGAGAGAACATAGTATTATTCGATTACCGAAATCCACAGATAATGCAAAGTTAATGCCGCCATCAATCTTGAGACATGGGGTATAAGTTTCAATTTTGTATAATAGAAAAAATTCGCGACGGAAAAGGCCTGGGTACGTACCGAAGGCAGGATGCGATAAAGTTATTAAAAAAAAAACTTGTTGATTTTTATTAAAAGATGCTGTTCCTTCATCGTGGAAATGATTAATAAGTACTTTGTACAATTATACAACCTTTGAAAGATCACACGAATTCAATTCAGATCCCGATTGAATAAAATAAAATTAAGATTCATTACGATACAAAAAAAATACATTTCAATTCAAAAGACTTTCCATTGATTGATTTTAATAAAACACAGCAGCTCAAAATTTTTTTTTACGCGTAATCGTTTGAGAACATTTAGTCGTTATCTTATCAATACAAATGCTTACGATATCAAAAATATTTACAATACGCATTCCTTATATTTCGATAGGTGTGTTTTCAATAAACGAAAGAACAGATGTGTTCACGCGAAACTTAAACAAAATCTTTGCATGAATTTTCAACTGAAATGAATGAATTTCAGTTGAAAATTCATGCATTGAAATTCTGTGGCACAGAACTATATCAGTGCGAGTGTCCAACGAGTTTCCCCAAACATATCAATTGTTTGTGTAAACACAAAAGACATGTTTTTCATCGGCAAATATAGGTATATGTAAATTTACTACGAGTATTTACTATTGTTCAAACACTTGTATGTCGCCGATATTGGCCAATATTTATTCAATAAGAGATTATTTTTTTTATTAACACTCGGATTTGTAATAAAACTTACGTCATATAAATAGGTTATTTCTGCCGTGAAGTAGCTATGCGTTCCGGTTTGAAGGGTAGAGGGAGTCGTAATACAATCAAGACTTTGACCTTAGGGATCAAAGTGAGTCGCGGAATTCAAGTTTTCATCTCTATAGACTCCGGTTAACACTTACCACAAGATAAACTCATTTACGACTATTAAAAGAAAACAATCCCGAAACAATTTAACTTTGAAAGTCTAATAAAATCTTAGTTAAACTGCTCTTATAGATTAAATAATCTAATCTCGAGATCAAGGTAAATCCATAGGCACTAATAATTCTAGTAATTTTTGTGGCATTTTCCGTCAATGAACAGAACTTTCATGGTTTACAAAGAAAAAGTTTTGTTGATGTCACGTCAGTCCGGGTGTGTCGTAATTTTCTATGTAATACAAATCAGAATGTAATTTGAATCTCGTGCTTTGTAAGGGAATATACCGTAACAAATAGCATCAAGGTTAGATAGAACACATTCTTAGGCGAGGCATATAAATTTATTTATCAGATCTAATAAAATTATTTTTAAATAAATAGCTTACTTCAACGAGAGATTCAATAGAAATTGATTGTTCCATTTACAATATGAAAATAAATTGCTTCGAATGTGTTTGATATATCAAATACGTATTAAATGACTTGTCAATTCTCTTCGAGAATCGAATGTAGAACTAGGACAGATCTATTGACAGTTGGTAATGTTATTGGAACTGTTTGTCTTCCTTATTTCATATCGTAGGTACACACATATCGGCACCGTGTCGACAATCTTAATTTGTTGGAGAATATCATTTGAGATAATATATTTCTGAACATTTATTTTACTTTGGTTTCAATAACTACTAAGATTTATTAACTAAAATCTTACGACACATTTGAATTAATAGAAAGAGATACAATTTTATAAGAAAACTCAATTTTTTAATTAAAATATGAACTGAATATAGAAAACAGTTAATTTGCAATTCGAAAATTGCAATTCATAAAAGCATCGTGAAACACAATGGCTACATTTGAAAAGGACATACCTAATGAATTGAATATTGTTCGTTTATAAACTTGAACCAGTTGCGAGTTGTTCCAGTTTAGTTTCGCGGTTCAAGAGAAATTAAATATAAATACTAAACAAATATATGTTTGATAGCTTGTTATCGACTTCAGTTGCTTGGATTTATTAACTTTACTAATCATAAATTAAACGATAATAATATCGATTACATTATCACTGAGTGCAAGAATGTTACGTTATTTTCTTGTGATCCGTAAAGTAAGTCATTAACAATTTCATTCCACTAACTGCTATACTACAAGCACATCTCTTTTGTAATGATTTCAGATTGCCACAATACTGTATTAACGAGTATTGATTATCCATTATATTCATCACGATTGGTACTGACAATAATTTATTAACAAGTACTTTATATGTATTTTAAATTTTTTAATGAGTCTTCAATACATAAATAACAATCAATCTCGTTTTCTTTTGGGTACAAGACCCGAATCTGTCAGATGTCATCTGTCAGATGAAATAAAAGTTAACCTTAAAATGATTTGAGGTTTTGATGAAGAGTTTTATCAAGATTATTATTATTGTAATAATAATAATTATTATTATTAATATGAAGATTATTTCGTTAATCAGTTCCGGGAGTTACCTTCGAAACCTTGACTATGAAACGACCATATAGAAGCGGACTGAGAGTATCTCCAGAAATAGAATCGCTTCGATCGGGTTCAACTGGCACTATGGCCAATTGAAACTAACAAACGCGACGTTACTATTTAACCCCAATTTAAAATATACATAATATATGAGCAGTAGAAGGAAACGTATCTGAAGATTTCATACGCACTTCATTGTGTCCTTGACACGGACGATTTTTTCATAATTATGTTTTTTAGAATCGATTTAGCGTTTTATTTGAGAATCGGTTAGTTTCGGCTGTTCTGATAAAGCGTTTAACGAGATTGCGTCGTAAAATTAAAGTTAGTTGATTTAAATTTTAATGAAACTGATTCTTATTGTTAGGTAGGCAAGAGTGTAAACAAACTTAGGACCCTGTAGATGGTGACGGTTACCGGCACTCAAATTCGTGTTCCTATTTATTCCGATGAGGGTATGAGCTCCTCCGTAATTACAAGCTATTTGCCACTCGAAATACGAGCTTCTAAATATTGATTGGTGCAAATGTGTTAAAACGTAAAAGATAATCTCGGCGCTCGCATTCGACGAGTCAACTCTATGTGTCACCATGATATTTTTATCGCTGTTAAAGTTATCAGTTTGTGTAATTTACTTCATTAACACGTTCACTGCCTTGTAGGTCACGGGTGCCCTACGCGGCGCACTGAAGTAATTATCACGATTTCTGTTACTAAGGCGTCTGGATTGCCTAGCTTTGCCTTCTTTTGTACGTTGTAGTCTTTTATGTCTCTTAGATTAGAAATAGATTCATTCTCAGTATCTTCGGATTCGTCTTTCCCAGAGTCTACTAGATATTCGGGAGTACTAAGCGGTAGGCAGCGGCTTGGCTCTGCCCCTGGCATTGCTGAAGTCCACAGGCAACGGTAACCACTCACCATCAGGTGGACCGTATGCTCGTATGCCTACAAGGGCAATAAAAAAAAGATCGTAGAGAGAAATCGACATAATTACTTCAGTGCGCCGCGTAGGGCACCGGTGACCTACACGGCAGCCAACGTGTTAATAGCATTCTCTGACTTGTTTTCAATAATTACCTGTCCTGTTACGTTAACACCATCGGCTCTGATTCCCATGGACTGCATGTGCGCGGTCGTCAGCCCAGCTTGTATTGACTGTTTTCGAAGCAACTCGATTGTCTGCCGTAGCTCCGTCAATTCAGAGTCCTGTGTATTAGAATACTTTATAATAAAAGAAACGGTTTGTCTCCAGAAGTGAAGTTGGAGTACACTTAACAACAAAAAAAGGAAACAATTGACAATTTAATTTAAGTTTGATTAAATTGACACATTAACTGAGCGAATAATTCGAAATTTAAAAATGTAACTAATAATAACTATAGCCCCTAATGTAAAAGTTATAAATCATAAAACAATAAAATATTGGTTTGCGTTTGTTAAAGCCTCGTCCGGTTTTGCCAATTGATTGAAGTTTCGTTTTTTTTATGCACGGAACTGTTCTTTGACCGTTCAATTGCTTTTAATACTTCTTATTCCCAATGTGTTAATAGTTGTTACATGTAATGAGGCTAAATAATCTATACATATAAATAAAATTGGAGTGTCTGTTTGTAATATTGAAATAGCCTCTTTTTACTACATGCATTTGAATATTTATATACGGTACATACACCAAAATAATTTTTTTACAATTTTTGTCTGTCTGTCTGTTTGTTCCGGCTAATCTCTGGAACGGCTCGACCGATTTTGACGGGACTTTCACTGATAGGTAGCTGATGATATAAGGAGTAACTAAGGCTGCTTTTTTTAGGCTAGCTTCGCCCACCTCGGGTAACATCGCGGGACTCAGCTATCAATAATAAAATTTAATGTTTCCGAAGCGAAGCGAGGGCGGGTCGCTAGTGTAATATATACCAAAAAAACTGTATTCAAAATATTTTCCAGACAATAATAGCTAACTGTCATAATATTAAGAAGACTAATAAGGAATTCAAAACAATACAAATTCCTATTCAATTCTTAAGCCGTCATTTATTAGTGTGGCTCAACGCAGCTGTTCAAATTAAATAGAACACGATCGAAGTGTGTCCCGTTTAACAAATTGTTATGAATAACATCGTAATATCACAACAAAAAATTACTCGAAATCGAATAAAATTTTAACATCGCTATTAATAAAACTCGTAAACATAATTTTATGATCACTTTTATGACTAAGTAACTAGATTTTTTTACAAACTTTAATTTTTGTTTTTCATACATTCACAAAAAAACACGGTGATTTGTTACTATACTACAGGTGTGTCTTAAAGAAAAAACATTGTCACAATAAGTTGAATTATATTAAATTTTAATTATACTATTATATTAATACTTGAATTATACTGTGGCGTTTAAGAACGCACCTTTTTATGCTGCGTAAGCCGGAACGCACGAGAGGTGGGAAAAAGAAGATAGTCTGTGACACGGGACCTTTTTTTACCGCCGAAAATTTAAAACGAAAAATAACATATAATGTGTTATAATATAATAACTTAGAATTGTTTATGCCGCTACAACAATAAAATTCCTAGTGTTTCAACTGTGGTGTTAATTACATAAAACACGACTTTACGGCGAAATAAAGATGGGACTCTGTATGGATTCCCTCAATACTATTATATTATAATACTTAAATTATACTATTTGATAGTTGTACCTTTCTCTCGGCAGTCGCTGTGAGCTGCTGCAAGCGCTGGGTCATGTTGGATAAACTCTGTTCGAAGGCTGACACCACGTGTGCCTATAGCAAAATACAAAAAATCCAAGGTGAATAATATACATTTTATTATTTTTTATTGCTTAGATGGGCGGACGAGCTCACAGCCCACCTGGTGTTAATTGGTTACTGGAGCCACCCATCTTGAGATATAATTTCTAAGATCTCAGTATAGTTACAACGGTTGCCCCGTTCTTCAAATCGGAACGCATTACTGCTTCACGGCAGAAATAAGCAAGGTGGTGGGTGGTACCTACCCGCGCGGGACTCACAAGAGGTACTACCACCAGTATATATTTATATTTACAATTTATTAGTATCTAAGCTTCTAGAAAGCCAGAGGGATTCAGACGGATTTGCAAATTCCCAAACTAATAGTAGATGCCTTTAGAGCTTATATATATATATCATGAGGTCCCTATTGAGACCAAACATTATTGAGGATTATACTTAACGGAATAAATTAATAAATAATTCCTAATGATCGTAGCATGATTGAGTGAATGTAATTTATCAACGGATTGAAAAGTATGGTGTTATCGAGGGCAGCCTAGGATTTAGTGTAACTAAAAAACATTTCAAAATTAATTTCAAAGGTTGAACATTCATTTTTTTTTAAGTAATCTTCTTTGTGTTCAAGTTACTTCTTTGTTAGTAATTGCTGCTCAATGTAATCAATTGGTGGGCATAACTTAAGCTATAATGATAATTTGTAAGTGATGAACAACCAAAAAATACTTTATCTTCGATCGATTGCGTTTATGGAAGCAAAAGTTTTCGAGTGTATTTATTTATGATGAAGATTAAGTAATAGAGACCCTGATGTATATATTAAAGTATAACTTTAAGAAATCGACAAAATTTTTCCTTTAAAAAAATTTACTTTATGGAAATCGAAAATTGAGGTATTTTTTTAGATCCGTTTGCATTGGTATAAAAAAATGTAACTGTCAGATATAGTATTTTTTTCCTGGATGAAAGATATTGTATGTTCTTTTCTTTTTCTTTTATTTTTATGACAATATATACGACAAAAAATCAAACACAAATACATAAAAATCACGACCGATTTATTATTAAAGTCACGAAAGCGTAATTTCGATAATACATACATACGATTCTCAATAATATATGAAGAAAAATCATATTTATTCCTTAAACAATCAAATATAGTTCTCACGGAAAGTATGAGGAAATAATTTAATATGACAATCATAAAATGAACTTAAAGGAAATTCATTACGACTGGTCATTTAAAAGCTGTTATTTTCACATTATTTAGTAACTTGAGATGACTACATATCGACACATATTTCTCATTACAAAACATTCTCGAACACAAATGAACAAATCAGATTGTCAAATAACAACAGATACTATGTTTAATATAACAATTTGTTAGCACTAAATAGTACAATTTTATAATATTAAAATAAGCTTACTCGATCAAACTTCTAAATTTAAGCAGATTCGTTTTCGAATTTCTCACTTCAATGACCTTAATTGTTAACAGCCTCTGAAGAAAACCGGTTGAAAGTGTCGATGTGACGACAAAGTGATGAATTATTGATATAATATTGTTGTTAGGAATGTATCAACGTAATAAGTAAGTGACTCATCGGAATAAATTGCTTGTACAGCATGATATTGAACGTGGGTGTAGCTGGACAGGGGACCCTTTGTTTGTAGCGAAACAGGAACGCACTTAGGAAAATTAAAATTTTAGGGGAGACACCCCATATTAAAACACTTTCCTATTATGAGGCGATGCATCGGTGGAATCAATTATGTAATTAATGGTGTCCGTATTTAAAGTTAATTAAAACGGAGTATTTGAAGCCGAGTAATAAAATTCACCTGCCGGCCAGTGTTCTGCCGATTATGGTGTCAGAAGTTTTTAGATAAGTTTTCTTAGGAAACGTGTTTTACATGGGCGGCAATAAATACAAATATTGAGGTTCTGTAATTTATTTAGTTTTTTTTTTGCTTAGTTGGATGGACGAGCTTACAGCCCGCCTGATTTTAAGCGGTTACTGGAGCCCATAGACATCTACAACGTAAATGCGCCATCCACCTTGAGATATAAGTTCTAAGGTCTCAGTATAGTTACAACGGCTGCCCCACCCTTCAAACCGAAACGCATTACTGTTTCACGGCAGAAATAGGCGGGGTGATGGTACCTACCCGTGCGGACTCGAAAGAGGTCCTAACACTAGTAAAAAAAAGTGATAAAGTTAGTGATAACGTTTATATATAGTTCAATCTTCGATTTCACTTGAGGATCTTTTAAATATTTATGTAACTATTTTATTAAGAATTATGTAATCTCTATTTTGCGTCAATACACTCTAAGCTATTGAGTACACACCATAAGCTATAATACGGATTAGAGCGAATTCGCCATCATCTGCCTGTATGTAGCCTTATTTCTTTACCCATTCTCTCTATTTACGATGTACTTAAAGACGGATCGAAGATCATGTTGTGAGTCCGTCGATTGCTTCCGTCTATCCGAATTCCATTTGCTGAATAGACTAGTTGCTATTCTTTTCTAGTTTATCTTTTTTTTCCTACCTATGCTAGCCTTGAGAGGCTATTTCAGCTTCTCCTTAAGGTGTAGGTGAGCTCACGGGGCTCAAAGCGGGTGTGTTGCTAAACCTGGCCCTAGCAAATTCTAGTTAGGACTTCGATCTTAAGCCTCGAGTTAGAAGAATGCAAATCTATTAGGGGTATGTATACATATTGAAATCAGTCTAGCATTTAACTGAATTTATATTATGTAAATTATCTATACTTCTATACTAATATTATAAAGAGAAAATATTTGTTTGTTTGTATTGAATAGGCTCCGAAACTACTGAACCAATTTGAAAAATTCTTCCACTGTTTGGAAGCTACACTATTCCAGAGTGACATAGGCTATAATAATCTTTTTTGAAAAAAATGAGGGATCCTTACTAAAACTCCAATAATTAAACCCAAGGTGTAAAAAAATTACCTAAAATATTCTTTACATCGCGTGCCTGCGAAAACTATTCATGATAGAATAAATGAATGTACTACGACTTTGTAGAACACATTATTATTGACAAAAAGTGTCGCAACAGCTTATGTCTCACTATTAAAGTTACGCCGCAATAAGTGTTCTTCTATTTAAAAAAATAAAACAACGTCAAATATCGTTGAAATTTTTGTTAAAGACCCGAGCGGAGCCGGAGCGGGCCGCTAGTGTAAACTATAAACAATATTAAATTACGGAACATGACCTTTCGCGAGCACGTTGCAATTTCTTTTAAAGTAGACTACGTACGGACTGTGGACCCCTAATAGCTTACGAATTGCACGAACAGGTGAAATATAATTGTTAATCAACAGCTGCGGAAACAGCCGCGCTTTAGCTTCGTTAATGACGACGATCAAAATAGTTATAACAGTTATTACTAAGCATCGCATGCCGACATTGGCACGCCTGCGTCTCGATCATTCGACAGACGCTTGCCGTTTAAGCTTTTTACTATGAAACGAAACATCTGTATCTAAATAATCATTTTAATTACGTTTGAAGAACGGCCAATAAACAAGTGGTTTGCATCTGCGTTTGTTTTAACTTCAGCCGGTTCGGAGGTTAGGTACTCCGTGCGCGAGCATTCGACCAGTGTAGGTACATACTAGATAAAATATTTTTAACGGTAAAAAATATGCCTTGATTACTTTTTAAGTGGAAAATTATTTTGAGAGTCGTTACGTAACATTTACGTACCGTTCCCTTTACGGGGCATTCTAATGTGTTGTTTGTTTAAAGTCAATATATACCTACAAGATGCTTAATTGTTTCGAAATTGTACTCTAGTCATGTATTGCACAGAACACAAAACTGTATTACAGGGCTGCGTAGTTAGATTAGCAACACTTTGTGAGCACTTATCAATTAACTTGAACCGATTGACGCTGCAATATCGCAACGAGCATTTCCGGCTTACGCATCTCATTGTAGACTTCAGTACAATGTTAAAGCTTAACATTTATTTAAGACACATTCATATGAAGCCGTTTTCTTTCATTAATTTTTTTCTAATTTAATGTTCAGTAATTTATTGATAACGGTAAAGAAGTGGAACTAAAAGAAGAATAATATAATGATTCATCTTGTTAGTTGAATTAATTTATCAAGACTGTATCTTAAGCGGATTATATTATAGAAGTTTAAACGTAATTACGGTTTCGAAAAATTTACAATAAATGTCATGTCTCAATATTGTTTCTTCATACTTTGATGTCACCTCCTAAAGGTAACCCGAATATATTAAATGAGATATACACTTATGTTTGTTCAAGTGTTTTCTTTAAGCGGTGCCCGTCATAGAAAATTTACACTGTCGCGTATGCAGTATACCATTTTATTTTTTTACGTTGATTCATATGCCTCGTATAAAAGCGTCCACCACCACAGTTAATATAATAACAGGAGCATATTATTATAGATAAATACTTAATAGGCAAGTAGGTCAAGTCCTACGAGAACCGGATGTACCTTAAGAAAGTGCGTCGTACAATATTCTCTTTCAAACAAGCGCGGTTATAAAAGCTTACAATCAAGCTTTAATAATTTATACAATTAGGTTTAATATGATCTAACCAATGTACCGCTTTCAATTCATAAAATCGAATTGACGTTCCACAAAATGAGATTTTCATTATTTTCTTTGTACTTAGGCACTACGTATCTATCCTAATATTATAATTATGAAGAGGAAAGATTTGATTGTTTGTTTGTATTGAATAGGCTCCGAAACTACTGAACTGATTTGAAAAATTCTTTCACTGTTTGGAAGCTACACTATTCCCGAATGACATAAGTATGATGAATGGCTATATTCTTTTTTAAAAATTTGAGATCCTTACTAAAACTCCAATAATTACATTTTATTACAATAAAATTAATAATATTAAAAAAATATAATTGGAATGAAAATAAAAGTTCATTAAAATAATAATATTCTAACTAACTTTATAATTTTCTTTTT